GAAGTGACGAGTTGGGCGTTAGAAGCTAGAGTGACATGGAGGAGATTATATGAGCAAGAAATGAAAGCTTCGGGACAGTCGTAGTGCCAGGTCTGAAGAGTGCACTGGAGACGTGCTACTGAAGCCCTGTGTTCCACTAGGAACCCAAGGGAAAAATAATAATCATAAAATAAATTAAACCTAAGTGTATTAACAAAACTCCTATGTTATTTTGTCAATCGCTTACATTTAAGTCAATCACTGAATACGCCCTTAAAATAAATGACTAACTACCAAGGATGTGAGGTTTAAGGATTAGAGAGTGCTTCTCCAAAGTATCATAGTATGTAGCCATAAGCAGCCTTAGATGCTGAACGATTTGATAGAGGTAAACTTCCACATGTCATTATACTTTCAAAGGAAACATAAATTGTTGAAGAGAAAAATCCACCTGACTATAAACAATGAAGCATAAAAACAACCTTAACAAATCCCTTATCTCAGTGTATGAAATACGGAGAATTCAGGATAATAAAACAACACAATGATCATATATCTTATTTACCTCTCACAGACAGATAGAGACTTCATCGGCTGCTACTGACTACCATAAACCCCATTCCAATTTAATCAAACTTCCCTCTAGCATGACATGTCGAAGTAGATAGTGGATTGGTATGTGCAGTACATGTCCAAGCCATCTCAGTCGATGAAAGTTCACAATCTCATCAACTGACAAACCACCCATGCCTAATACATTTCGCCTGACTTCAAAATTACTCACACAGTAATTACATGATGCGAAAACAAGACTTCAAATATACGTGTTCAAAAATCTCTTATACTTTCAACGGCCATATCTCAGACGTATTACAGTATACTCGTCGTTTCACAGATGATCGGATATCTCATTAATCAGCACAGGGGATGACGCAGATCATTCCGAGCTAGTGGAACTCTCCAAGTAAGTGAAGTGGTCAATAAACCCAACCATCACACTCTCTATCCTTAAAATAGGAGTGGTTGGAGTAGACCAATCCTCCAGCATCACCTTACATTTGATATGCCAAACACACTCAGATTCGCCAAAAGTTTCCAATAACTTTTTATATTTCAGCAAATATATTTCAATGAACTTACAGTATGACAAATATGATGGTATATTACTGAGGAGAGTTGTAAGCAAACTTGGTTTACAATTACAAAATTTTATGTTGGATATACGCAACAGTACATAAGCCTATTCATAACTGTTATTGCTATGGATACGAGTCTATACCAGGATAGCTTTTCTTAAATCACTCAGGTGAACAATGAAAAAGCGTTCCGACTGGATCGTTTTGCAATTACAAAAATACAATTTGATGGTATTCATCATGGACTGATATCAGCTGGAGAAACATTGGGAACCTAGGAGTACTGGACAACAGTTGTTTCATCTCATTAGTATGGGAATTCTCAGGAGTGCGCAGCCATGACCCCGCCCAGACAGGGATCGAACCCGTGACCTTCAGGTCCCGTGGACAAGCATGTTACACCATTTGACCACTGGGTCGGAATCCAATGGTCCATACTTACAACTTCGTGACCGGTGGGGAAAACCTGGTGGCTGTAAGGAAAAATACTTAACGGTGATATTGGGTGAACTGACAGAAGTTGGAAATATGGGCCATCGGGTTCTGACCCATTGGTCCAATAATAACGTCCCGGCTACGGAACCTAAAGATCCTCGGTTTGATCCCAGGTGTACTGCAGAGGAGTCTCATATAAGTGGGACGAAACAGCTGTCCAGTACTCTCAAGTTCCCAATGCTCCTCTAATTCGTGCTAGTACATGGTGAATACCAACTTCAAAATGGATAAACAATCTAGAATATTAGCCATCTAGGCAATACTCATCTTTACTTTCAGAACTTGTTGTATGAGACAAGATAGGATATATATGAAAGACGTTAAGAATTGATAAAACATGAGTTACTGTGTCTAATCCAATCCTGTAGAAAGTCAACCGCGGATCGATTGGATCAGTCGTAACGTATCGAACTACGATACTGGTTGAGGCGGATTCGAAACTCAGTCCTAAGGGACGTCAGTTCCTTCGATATTGATGAGTGCAAAAACGACGGTGTCTAGGTCAGGCAGCGCTTCATGAAACTAAGATAGAAATCCTCCAGTCAAATATCGATCAATTAAACTGTCACGAAAACCTAAACTGATTCATATAACAACAGACTTTCATTGCAACCATAGAGTAAGCTGGATGTAGACATAGTCCTCCTTGAATGTTCTAATACTTCTAGTCTCTTATGAACCAATGTAAAACATCCACTACGTATTACGATTTTTATCCTAGCCTATACAACATCAGGCCTACTTTAAGGGTTATCTTTACACCATGATAACTAAAAGATTCAAGATTTAGAGAATACGTTACTGTTAAGATTGGCCATCGAAGTGAATATTTGATTATTAGCTATGTATAATGTGAATAAACTAACAACTAAACAGTCAATGATATAAGCCTTTGACCTGGTAATCAATCATTTTTATTTCCTATAACTTGACTAAACTGCCCACACACCTTTCTTGGCATTATATATGCATACTTTTCTCTGTACTTTCAAAAACAAATGGTGTTTGTGTGCCTCACGTGTCAGTTGTGTATTCTCAGTAGGCTTAATCACAGCTACTACTGAGTGGTAAGAGAGATAATTGACTTCCGAGCAGTGTCATGGGTTCGAGTCCCGTCCCGCCTACCGAGGTTTCCGCTGTCAAACAATAGGTGAAGTATATTAATTGCCCACTGTTTGAATATGTACCTAGTTGTCGAGTGGATTTCAGTTCAAAAACACCTTTTGAGTATAAAACAATCCTGAGGAAGATAACTAGGATAGGTATTGTCATAGCTGAGGTCAAATACACAAAAGGTGTAAAGGATAGATTCACATAATTATCAACTGGCTATACGTGTGCTATCACCACAAAAATGCTACTATTCCCGTCTTGAACACTTGTAGTGCAATTAACGAGTGACCAAAAAATTATCACAAGGTTCGGGTTCTCGTTAAATAAGATATGCTTGATTGGTCCTAGTACTTTCGATCAAGCATTTCCAATTTCGAATATCCTTCTCACTACCTTACACTGAATAGTATCACGGGGATAGCCCAAAACAGTTCATTGGTAACGTCTCCAACTGGATAGCAACGAGTGATGCGTATTTGAATTTCACCCTTTGATGACATCATTTCCGTCGAAGTTGGCGGTAGTACGACTTCCCGTCGATTACGTCTATCCAACTTGCATACAACCGATACCGTGTATCTGAATTGCATGACCATTTTTATATATTACCCTAGTTGCAACTTATTTTCTATAGTATTCCGAAGTCTTTCTTTAAGAGGAGCGCTGACTGAAGCGACTGTTCACTGAGTGCAAGCAGATGGATAGAGAATTACAGCCAAACATCCAGCCAGATATAAGAACCGAAAATAAAGTGAATTATTTTACTTTCAGTTTGTGGAATAAACTACTACTGGTTGATTACAGGAAACAATCAGTATGACATAATTGTCAATTCATACCACATGTACAATAGTATAACTTTGATTCAAATTATCTGCTTTCTAGATTATTCTCTGTAACCAAGCCAACTTTTGAATTTGAAAAACTCCGTATCTTGTCATTATTTTTTTATTCTCCGATATTGTACTTCTTAAATGTTAAGATACTCAAATATTGATAGAAAAATTTCATTTTAGAGTTTATGGGGATTTAATTTTGTTCAAGGTACTACCCGTCAAGGACTGACATCAGTTAAAAAACCATTGGAAACCTGTGAGCACCGAACAGCTATTTCGTCCTAATATGGGAGTCTTCATCAGTCTATACTCACTATCCCATGGAGGATCGGAGTCAAGAACACAGGATCTCTTGGAGAACACGCTAACCACTCAGCCATTGAATCACAGTCGGATGGTTCACAGTCTTTTACATCTATCGATTCGCGACATAGCGCAACTATCCACCAAGATCTTCACTTCCGACTGATTGACCATACAGGTCACGACTTCTCATTAAAACTTTGAGATGTCCATCACAATAAGCATGTTATACTAGTGAGTACTATGCAGTTATTTAGTTTCAGGTTTATGTGGATTTTATTTAGTTCAGGATAGTATTTATCACGAACTGTATGGTTGAATGGTTAATGCGTTTATCGGAAGACGTGAAGGTCCTGAGTTCGACCCCCAGCGAGGTTGTAGCTGAGTATTGGGGAGGAGTGACATACTGAGGAACCAAACAGCTCTCCAACGCTCCCAGGTTTAGGTAAGTAACACAAATATTATATTTATCCAAAAAAGGATATTTTCACCTTATCTAAAATCGATCCGTTTATGATTCAACACAATAATATGACAAGAATGTCGTGTCGACTAGTGAATCAATAACAAGACTGCCAATCATCAACGTATATGCATCCTTGCCAAATCAATATTGAACAAGATGAAGTCGAAAATCATCGTGCGCGCACACACACACACTCACAAAAAAGAACAACTACACACACATTTAAGCACACGGGTATACACCGCCATAAAGTATGACAGAATGAAAATAACTTGGTTTTTATTGTCAATCTTTCTCTAAAGTCTAATTAAAATTATTAATAATGATGGTTAGTGGCCAGCAGTGAGATCCAGCTTGACGCAGGTCCTATCTCATTAGCTGGATGCACTAAGACTCGAACTCAGGACTTCAAACGCCACAGAGTTATCCACTAAGCGTTCGAGTCATGACAGGGCATGGGTTTTAATGTTGTTGTTTGGTATTACTCTCATCATTGGTTGGACCGAAATTAATCGGCAACTAATAGGCCTCGATATTGCCTGACGTTTCAACTTCGTAGTAATACCACTATAAAATATTTCGAGTTAGACAAACACAGACCTGGCTGTCGCAACCAAGCCCTAATCCCCCCCCCCGCTCCCAAGAAAAAAAACAATATGAAAAACAAACTAATAAGACAAATGAAGTCAATTTGTTATCTGGTCAAGGTGACCAGCACACACACACACACAGAAAAGAAAAAATAAACACCGAAGAATGTTGTCAGGTGTAAAATACGCTCAAATGTTTAAAAACATAGAAAGCAGGTGGAATAAGGGATTTTATGAAGGCGTAAAGTTAACAACAACAAAAGATGATATTTCTGGCGCAATTTTACAAACAAGAATAAATAAATAAATAGGTCAAGGTCACTGATGAAAAGTTGGCATTATTATTGTCATTATTATTACTAATACTATCAGCATATAGATGGCCAACTGGAAAAGAAGTGTAACCAGATTTAAGCCCTACATATCCATTCTGACTAGTTCAGAGAGATCACATATGAGAGGATGAGAAAATTACGCTTAACAAGAATATTGCAAACACTTAAAGCAGTAAGAGTGTTAAAACGTTTTAGTTAATAAATAAACAGTCAATATTAACACCAACAAAAAGAAAGCGCTACGAAATCGAAGCATTTATGTTGTACAGATATGATCACCTATGTAAAACTACTTCTACTACTAAGAGGTTGGAGGAAATCAACACAAAGCATAAACAATAATAGATGGGAGACAAATAAAAGCATAAGCGATGAAATGCCAAATTATACATTACCAATGGTGATAATAGCAATAATAATAATAATAATAATAATAATAATAATAATAATGATAGGGGTCATCACAACGAACACCGTGAGTACACGCCCCCCCCCCCCCACCACACATTCATTAAAAGTCATAAAAGAAGGAATCTGAAAGAAGAGGAACAAAGACAAGGCGGGGTATATGCACATTTGGTGGGTAGGCAAGGGAGGAGGTCAATGAGCATGCTTACACTCATCAAGGTCAACACAAATTATTACAGTATGCATATGAACAGAAAAATAACTGATCAATAAATATGGCAGGGGGGGGATAGTGTGCAGATGCCAAAAGTTGTAATGTACTCCTTATTTATCCTATAAATAATTAACAATAACAATAAAAACAAACACACACACATACAGGAAGAAGAGAGTTGGTGTAATGAACACCAATTGTACCATCATCGAGAATGGAGGAGTGTTTAACATACACATACCGTTATTTTGGATAGGCATTGACGTTTCTCTCTGTCTCACTCTGTATCTCATCAACTGTCAGACAACAATTTTACACAAAGACAATAAGAAGAAAAAAAACAACTTGAAATCACAAGATAATAATAAGTATGTTGACACTACACACACTAGTCAGTTACTTCATTGTCCATTTTAAATAATCATCATCCTTTACAGATGAACCCATAAACACTATGGTTACCCATTACAATGAATATGAAAGGAATCCTATTAACCCAATGGATGAATACTGACAAATAACTACACAATCATTGTCAACATTGAAATCAATAAAGACAATATCCATAGGGTTACAAAGACAAAGAGTAGAGTTGATAGAAAAAAATCGATGAAGAATGAAGTAATAAGAATCTGTATCAAGATGCTCTATCTTTTCAACTATATATACATACCAACAACAGAATGTTATATCATGTAGTCTGATTATGCAATACAGGTGTATCTTGATTCAATGAACCGCTTCCATTGGTAATTACAAAAGGATTGCCAATACTTCTGTCTATTGATGTATTATTAGTAGCCAGTACAGTACCAGCTGTAGCTCTATCCACCCAACCTAAATCGAATGGATCAGATAAACAATCAGGTTCTGGAGGCAGTAAAGCAGACGGTAGAGATGGAGATGTTTGCCAAGTTGTATGATTATTACCACCACCACTACTACTACTACTATTATTATTATTATTATTATTATTATTACCGATTGCATCGGTTGTGCCCACTGACCATGGATTGGTAGAACCTGAAGAAACAGGAGAAACTAGTGTCAAAAAAGAGGAAAAAAGAAACAAAAGTGAAATGTTAAACATTAACGAATCAATATAAATAGAATGACTGTGAAAAACAACAAAACAGAGAAAATGTAAAATAATTTTTCAAGGTTATGGATAATGTTACTTGTACGATGGTGATAAACAGTAAAATCCATCCTATTTCAGACTCGTCAATTAAATTTAATTATCTCCTAGAGGAGTGATGCTTTCTCTCCGATGAAACTCATCACTTCAAATGTCACAACGTTATCCAGTAGACTACGAAGCGATGACAGTGCTCAGGAAACTTAAGATAATATCAAGTTATCCTTTTCACAAACTAATACACCGAAACAGATCGATCATCCCAAATAAAAATAACATCCTCAACGAAGACCTCTCCCCTTTTCATCATTACGTTTTAAATTCCACGTGTTTATTGAACATTTCTCGCATCGTTCATGTTTTGTCTCGATGGGAATTTTGTCTTACAAGTAAAACATAATCACTAGATAGTGGTTCAACTTGTCACAGATCGATAGAATGAGAGTGACATCAAAGTAGATAAAATTGTGTGAGGGGAGGGGGAGAATTTACGCGAGTGTGACCGATTTCCAGCCATATCATCGATTCCTATCATCTTGCAACTCTAACCAGGCAGTTTATATCTTCGCACACGGTTCAGACCAACAATAGGAGACTTCATCGACTGGTGTCAAGTTTTGGTGTGGCCATCCTCAACCCTCTTCCAACACAAGATAGCTTCCCCAGGATGGCACGTCGAAGTAGGCAATGGGTCGGCATCTAAAACACATATGTGAGACACCTCAACTGATGAAGGTTCATAACCTCATCGATCGATTCAACTGCCTTGCCTAGTACCCTTCGTCTGCATTACTCATACGGTGGTGTGATTCCACCAAACGCGAGCTACACTGCGAAGCCATAAGTGACCATATGACCGCTTCATTACCTTCCACTTCCAACAGCCATGTTACAGTTGTATAGCAGGACCAAATGGACTATTGAGCAGTACACTCGTCTTTTGATAGACAGTTGGATATCTAGGCCAGTTGGTGCCACACATGATCCAAGTAGGCAAATGCTTAACCCTGCTTCGCCTAGGCTTCGTATCCGCCGCATTCGTCAGCAGCCTCGAAGGAGCTGACGTATTCAAGGGTGAGATCCTAACCAGCGTCATCTAGTATTGCAGTCAAACACATCACCGCTGAGCTATTTATGCCGCGGTTCATCTCCTGCAGAATTGGACTAAGTACAATAGCTGGTCACTGAATGGTAACTAACTCTTCACCTTGTCTAGTTTCGATCGATTTGGCCACCAAGGTAAGATGACTTGCCATCGCGATGTACTGCACAACAGAATATTTCAGCACATTGAAGTTAACTAGATTGCTAACACGGGAATCCAGGACGCATAACGAGGAATTACAAAAATATCCACATTTTTAATTATCTGACTTGCAGTATTCTTCCACAAAGAAATTGAACATAATGACATATAACACATGAACTACTAAATTCTTATTAACAGATTAGTCTATGTGTAGGACTGCATGCAAAGTAAACGATTTCTGAAATAAACATCAATGACCTTGAGTTTCCCCTGAGCTTTCCAAGAAAAGTGAAAATGAAGATTACCATGTGATAAATTGGTGCAACAAAGTAAAGGATTTGAAAACTAGAAAGTTTTTTAATGGGTGAAAATCAACTGAAAGAGATTATTACTAGACCTATTTAGAGCTATGTTGAAAAAATGAAGAACATCCATGACAAAAAAGTATTTCATAGACTTCAGGGTCAAAATTCGACCTGATAGAGTTGAATAGGTTGAGGACTCCATAAGTGGATTATAAAGGAAATGTATTTATAAAATATCAATGCAGTAGACTAATTGCCAGTGTTTCATGACCTCATGCAAGCCACTTCCTTCAGACGATGAAACCTGTACAAGTTATCGACTGTTGAAATAGTATTTGGTGACAAATCAATCACATCACATCCTTCATATATGATGACCATAATAATGATGATAATAATAATAATGTTATCGTTATCAGTGATGATTAGTCCATGACTTCAAGGGTAGGTAGGTGTGAGATGGAGAACTGGTGTTATGTGTGTGTGTGTGCGCCTTCCGGATATACTATCCAAGTTAGTTGAATAGTTAGATCTTCCTTTCTCTGCTTATAGTCCATTACGATTCATCTTTTCCTTGTAGTATGAATAACCTTCATATTTTCAATATCAATTCTGTGACTATGATAGACAGCACAAATCCACAATTGCTGATTTGATTTGTAAATTCTCCAGTTGTACAAGATTATTTGGAGGTTGTTTTGTGCAGGGTTGCATGTTGTTTAATATGAATGAGGATGTCTCACAATGATTCCCCAATAATAATCAACATCACAATCAATATAGCCTAATCTGTAGATACAATTCTGTGTGGAGGGAGGTAGAGAGGAATTTTATATTTTAAGTGAACTGAAGCATTCCTGAGAGTGAGTGTTGGTTGTCTTGTAGAAGGTTGTGATTCAGCGGTTTCTTAAAATCGATTGTGACTGTTCAGTTGTACGTTAGTGGAACAGTAGAAGTGTTGTACTCATTCAAGATTCCTCATTTGATTTTCCTCTTGAATTGTTCTGCACATAGCTTTTAACCTCTTGAATGACATTCTCAGGGTGGTTATCGTAATGCGTCTTTCTCATATCACACTGACATACGCTGACATCTTCAGCTTGAACTCGTGAACTAATCACTGATGTCGATGACATTTAGGTCCATATTATTATGTTTAAGGAGATGTTAAGGGGAAAAGTAACTGCTTTTTATCTAATCACTATGCAACAAACCCTTCTAGTATGGTAGGACATCGACTACCACCATCATCGGAGAATTACAACCTGTACAAGTTATAGCATGTTTAACTGGTAAGTAGCGACAGATGAGATCACACTGTCCATTCATGATAATACTCATTATCATTAGGATTAATATAGGACCAGGCATTTCCGCTTAATGGTCGAAGTTGTCACATCTCATCTCATATCACCACATCAAGTAACAAGACAATAAAATGGAGGGTGAAGATGGTAAGAAAACTCAGTCGAAAGAAGTAGGAGTAGAGAGTGATAGAAGAGAGGAAGGGAAGAGTAAGATGATGATGCGATCAAGTATTGAGGTTAAGATGAAGATAATGTGTGTATGCATCTGTTCCATATCACCATATCATCTCCCGTGGACCCCAACTGCCTTGTCTGCACCACCTTACATGGCTCTAACCAACTGTCGATAACTTCGTACATTGATGACCACCCCGAACACTTTTCACTAGCCTGAACCTACTTCGGCCAACATTGTATGACGAGACAGACGGTGACCAAGCATACATAACACATACTCTAACCAGCCACCTCAGTCTTACCTCTCCTACCTAAAACTCTACGTCTATCTTCTATATTACTCACCTGGTGACACTACGAAACAAGGTGTATGCTATGGTGGTCAAACACCTGAAGCCTTCTCATGTCTCCTACCTCTAATGGACATACTTTACAACCACACAGTAGAACAGAGTGGACTGCAACACAGTACACTCAACCCACAGTAGACAATTGGATATCACAGTGGTGCCACCTGTGGCATAAGTTGGCAACAACCAAGCGAAACCTTTGTATGCGTGCAGAGGTTTGGTCGACCGTTGACCAACGGACCAGAGCAGGATTGATCCGACTTCTCAGGTAATCAGTGAAGTGTTCAACACACTGAACCAATTCAATCTCTGTTGTTATTCGGAGTACCGTTGAAGACCAGTTGTGGAGCAACAATTTGAATGTAGGTGGAGAGAGAGAGAGAGAGAGAAACATATGCCAAACATTCTTGAATTTCCACTCAAGGTGTTTAGAAGACTCTGGATCTTGTCAGCGTCTTCACATAACAGGACTATGTCATCTGAGTATTCTAAGTCTACTGAGAGTTCTCCTGTGATTAGATCAATCCCAATATGGTCACTTGATGAGAGGGAGACCTCCATAAGAACATCGATGATATAATCGAATAAGAATGCAGAGAATGGGCATCCTTGACGGACATTACTCGACGTACACAACTCACCCGATATGCTTACCATAGGCTCTAACAGGATGGTAGGCGGAAAGGTGTTCGAACCCATAGGCCAAGTCAACTCCCTTAGTTAATCAGCCACAGCCCTACCATCTTCTTCCTCATAAAAGGTAACCGTCTCGTTTCACTATTGACTTTTATTCTCAAGTTTGAAGCATCACTAGGTAATATATACTTTGATATGTATTCGGTGGAACATTGTTTCATCACAGTGACTTGATACCTACTCAATTAAAAGTTGTAACATGATGGTAATACTTTATAAAAAAATTAATGAAGCTGTTTTACAATAGATTAGTAAATTGACTGTCATTCAAATAAGTTCAGTGATGCTATAGCCTGTAATTTTGCGTCGTTGATTCGACCGAATTGATCAGCTTCCGTAGGCAAACATACACCTACGCGGAAGTCTCTCGTTACAACCTACGACCTCATTCTGGGCCGGCATTGGGACCTAGGATGCGGGGTTTCACCATATTAGGAACACATCAGGTGCATGTAGGTACATTCCACTGAGTGACACACAGCACCTATCGTTTCGAATCCTAGAGCGTTGTCCACTAAGCTAATGGGAACAGGATCAATCAGGTATATGTAGTTGATGAGTTCCGAATCGGATGAAACGCATGTTCAGGACTACACTGTATTATCCAAAAGCACTAGGCTGAGTGATATTTTGTTACAATAGACAAGAATGATTCTTCCCAGATTGGTATTCATCATAGACTAGCATTAGTTCGGAAAGCATTGAAAAACTAACAGCACAAGACAACTGTTTCGTACTAGTAACGAGCTCTTTAGCAATGAACACATCCCTCTAGGAATCAAACCTAAGACCCAAAAGTTGAAACAATTGAAACAGTAG